ATGCTCCAGAGATCCATGGAAAAATTTTGGTTTCTGTATATTTTTACGTGCCCCGATCTTGGCTAAACGATGGTGAAAATCCGATCTCGATAGCTCATTCCGTTCTCGAGTTATTGATATCGCAATCACCCACACTATATTTTGAAATAAATAGTAGTCCTGTCGAAAACATAAATGTTTTTTAAAGTACACTTTGTTTTTAAGTGGTACAGGTCTACGCATAATTACAACGAAACGAATGAATTATTTTTCTAGCTTACTAAGGATATATTTCTAGGCTTAATCGTAGGCATATTTGGATTCATGCAGCCAAAGGCCTCTAAAGAACATTCCTGCTTTAGAGCTAGTGTCTCTGTGTGATCGATCAGCCAGCTGTAGTAACTATTAGTTAATTGTTGTTTCTAGATAGACAATAGTGAAATTCATGATGGACTTGAGGTTTGGTTTGGCCCCTAAAAAGAGCCGGAACTTGGACTTGTCGATCGCTGACTAGGTATCTTATAGAAGAAAAACAGCAGAATTACTGTAAGTCTGCTCATCTTCCGGAACTCATCGCTAATTAGAGCATATACCAGAAAAATAACTTCAGATGTATCATTTACACTATTACAATATTCGAAACAACTTTTTCTCAAACACCTACTATCAGACATTGATAAGAACGAGTCGGACATAATTGTTTATCCTCCGGTATGCACTATTCATCTGTTGTTTAGCTTAAAGCTTGTAGCTGGTATCAGAATCAATATTTTACATGTACTGAAGAACAATCAACTCGTAATCAAATGCAGAAATTGTTGAAATTGTTCGATATTTTTGATATTAAATGCAAATACATTTTTGGTGAACAACTTCTTGATATGATGCAAAAAGCTTTTCTATACACATTAGGATTTTGGCATTTCTTCAATTTACACGTAGACTTAGTCAAGGACCTATATGCTCAATATCGCGAAAATACCTGTGGTACATCGTGAGATATGTCGTGAGGCACATCGGGCGATATTGACGGTAAACCGCGAATATCTGGCCGGTTTTTACTTAAACTTACTAGTGCACGTTCTAAACTTCGTAAGGGAATTTTTCTGTTCTTCGATGTTCAATCGGTTTTATGATCAATCGATAGAGCGCATCGAGATGTATATGTGAAAAGATTGTCATCGTTCTCGAACAAGGTCTGGCGGAAAAATTCGAATTTGACGTTGAGAATGGGTTCTGGCGACCGAAAGTGTGTTTTTTTGAGACCTTGCAAAGAGTTTCTCTGCGAGGAAGCATTTTGGAGCGGAAATATGAGTGTAGAAGTTGTTTATCATGTTTTTTTCTGTTGGGTAATACTAAATTTCTTAAAGTTTAAAAAAAAAATTTCTTAAGGTCAATCTTTAAAATTGAAAATACTGAGACGCTGCTACTACGGAGAAAAGGCGCTCATATTTCAGACTCACTTTCAGAAATCTGTAAGGTTTAGAAGGTGCGCCGCTGGAGACCAGGATCTCCAGAGACCCTCTTAAAATCCTAAAACCATGAAAGTGATCACACTCAATAGCGAATCAAATTGTGAGCAGAATGAGATCAACCAGAGCCTTCTACGATCATATCCCGCGGAGTTATGAGCCGAGCACAGATGTAAAGTCGAAAAGCCTCGAGTTTTTCAGTTTTTTTAACTGTAATTCCACGGGATATGATCGTAGAAGGCTCTGGTTGATCTCATTCTGCTCACAATTTGATTCTCTATTGAGTATGATCACTTTCAGGGTCTTAGGATTTTGGAAGGGTCTCTGGAGATCCTGGTCTCCAGCGGCTCACCTTGGAAACCTTACGGATTTCTGAAAGTGAGTCCATCAGATTCAGCATCACTATGTACCGCTAAAACCATAGTTTCAGCTCTCTCTCATGAGAACTGACTCGTCTGAAACCCGATCATCTGAAGGATTTGGGCGAAAGTGCTGTCCTATTCGATGTAGGTCGAATATCTTTTGAACAAAAATAAATCTCGAAAAAGTGGATGTATAATTTTGTAGAGCTTTAAACGGCGAATCAAACGGTGTAAAACGTTTGGCTCTACGACCTCTCCAGGCGGAGTTGAAGCATTTGCAAAAACAGTTGTTGCATTTTCGTCGCTGTAGTTTCGGCCTTCCACAAAAACTCATTTCTTGTCTTGGAGATCTAAAGACTACATGACTAGTTTGAGTTTTTGATGCTAAACCCGAATATTGAAACCGCAAATCTTTACGATCTTTCCGGCGGAGTTATGGGCATTTTTCGAAAAACGGATATTTTTCCGGTTTTTGACCATCGCTCCGTATTTTGGAATTTTCTCGGCGAGGAAAGGGCTTTGAGAGTCGAGATGGCGATATTCGCGATTGCCGTCCGATTCTCTATTGAATGGTGTATAAATCAACCAAATCTATTTTTTCACTACATCTTTGAATGAGCTGCATCTTAAGTCAAATCCAAAATTTTTCGCCAAACCTTATCCGATAGTGATGAAGTTTTTTTGTAAGTATATTTCAACATGGTTGAATGACAAAAGATGCAAGCTTATCTCTCCAAAAACAAATTTTTAAAAACTGGACTGGAAACCGACAAAAAACGTAAAAAGATTTTTCTCAAAAACTACAGATGCGTTAGTCGAAAGAAAGCTGAATCTATACATTCTGAAGTGTCCTGCAGAAACTGCGAAAAGTCCAGGTGGCAGGTCCCCGCCTTAAATTGAACGGTATACCGTCCGTATATCATTGGGAAACCGGCGATATTTTCTGTTACCACGATTATCGACAGTATTATAGAAAAAGTTATGACATGGGAATCGCAGAAGATCTGCTCGTTAAAATGTTTTGCTAAAGTTCTCGAAGATTTTGTTAATATTTTCCTAGTTCTCTGAAGTTTTTGTTAACATTTAGATACTCCGGTATTTCGTTCAGCTGAAGATCCAGGTTATTCTCAAACGACCGTTTTTTTTTACTGCAGCTCAATCACGAATGTGACAAAAACTTAAAAATTGTCGAAAAATCAGTAGTAGTCTACGTATCGACAAAATAAACGAGTGATTGAAAGTTCACACGATTCTGCGCTAGCCTTGACTACGGACAATTCTGAGCATTGTCAACAATAGATTGAAAAGATCATAATAAAAAAAAGACGCTACGTTCATTGAAGCCAAGAAAATCAAAAAATGGTACTAGAAAAACTCCAGTGGTCATTTAGAGGAAGTTGTTTGAAACGTGAAATTTCGATAAGGAAAAATGAAATAGATCCGATTCATTATCCAAACCAGAAAAAGACGCGCACGCTCGATGGCGCCGCATTCGTCTTCTGAATGTATGCCATCTTTGTTCGTATTTTTCCATTTGCTAGACCCCAGTTACCAATCAAATTGAGACAATTAGATGTACGAATATATAGAAAACTCGGAGGAAAATCAAATACATTATATATCTGCTATAGTACGTGACTTGTGCAACTAAATAAAAAAGAAAAAGTAATGTCATATCTGTCTCATTAAGAATTTCTATCTAATCTATGTTCTTGTTTATTATATGCAGCCTTCTCTGTATTTCCGAATCTCTTCAATATCAACAAATTTCTCATTTTTCTTGTTTTTTTCAATAATTAAATGTTCTTTATTAAATTTTTGTCGTCATTTACTTTGATAAATTTTCGAATTTATTCTCTGAATTACAAAAATGTGTACAAGATCATTATCAATGTCAAAAACCAACATACAATCGTCAAGACATCTGGGAGCAGTTTGTTTTTTACACGTGCTGTTTCTTTTACACGTATCAACAGCATTATTAACTATAGTCAATGCATTATCAAGTGAAGCATACGGCGATAGCGAGAGTAAGAATCGAGTTAGAATGATGACAATTATCTTTATGCGAACTTTTTTGAATATGAATTCTGTTCAGCACTATGTTAGAATGCTGAAAATCTTCAAGTGATCTTTACTCTTAGGTTTACTTCAGATAGAGAAAAAATATCTAAAGATTTCTAGTAAAGAGTACCATTAGGATGCATCTTGTGAGATTCTCTAAGTAACTGTTCTATGTTACATAAACAGTTGAAAAAATGTGTTTCTTGTTGAAGTTACTGTACGTTTTCGTCATTCTTTATACAAAAAGCGAAGTATTCAGAAAAAATTAGGCTTGCTCTGCTTCATAATGACAATTATGATATTTTCTTTTGGTATTATTTAGCTATAATTCAGTTATCAAATGATGCAATTCATGTTGTTAAATTATCTGCTGAAAGTGTTTTTCTGGTAAGTTGTTTCTAGATAGAAAACATGAATTTAACGTTTATTGTATATTTTTCATCATTTCAGAACGGAGATAATGCATATGATGATAATAATGATCTAACAGCGTTATTATCATCATTAGATGAAGAAAATCATTATCTTAATGACGTCGATGCCGATGACATCATTAATATCGACGACGAGAAAGAAGAGATAAAGCAAACCACTACAACGTCCACTTTTCTCTATCCTGATTTATCTCTATCTAATACTTCTACAATAACAGAAACTCTAACAGCTTCTATATCATCCTTAGTCCAATTTATTCCTGCTATTCTTGATTTTGACCTACAGTAAGAATTAATTCAGTGTACTTATTTCTGAAATATTCTTATGTTATGGGTTTTTTATCTCTTTTAGGTCAATTGGAATTCCTTCTGTTCATAATGTTATTGTTATTAATAATAGTCCTGAGATATTAAGTTTAGAATCCATATCCGGTACAACTGTCCAATTTTATTCTTCATTTTTTACGCAAAAATTAGTTCCATCTAAATCAAATACGTCTTTTAACATTTATTTTTTACCTCGAGCTATAGGCAAAACAGACAGTACATTAGTAATTAACAGTAATCAAGGAATATTTCACTATTTGGTATGATATGGACTTTAAGAAAATTATTAATTTCTGATTTGGCTTTCATTTCGTATTTCCAGGTACTGGGCAGTGGTGTGCCAAATGAATTTCGTTTACGTCCCTATATCGGTGCTCATATTCCATTAAATACAAGTTATCAGCAATTCGTTCATCTTCATAATCCTTATAATCGTTCACTTGAAATTACGGAAGTGTATACAAGTGATGATGATCTCATAATTGAATTGCCGTTCATCGATAGTACTCATTTGTTAAAACCCTCAATATTATCGTCAATAACAACAATAAATAATGATGAATTTTTATCATCTTCTCTAACTCATGACGATACTTTTCCCAATAGTTTTCCTACTCATCAATTCCATTCTCATAAAGATTATTGGACTTTAAAAGCGTATGAAACAAAAACTATAATAAAACTAAAATTTTTAGCACGAACAATCGGTCAATATTCGGCATTTTTATGTATAAAAACAATATTAAATGATACAATTATACTTCCAATTGAAATGAAAGTATCAAATCAATCCGGTTTATATACAAATATTGATCTAATAGAGTTTGGAGATGGAATGATAAGATCAAGTGAAGAACCAATTACAATTCATTTATATGTCATGAACAATGGACCGAAACCAGTCATAATTGCCGTAAATATTATCACTTTTATTGAATGAAAATAATTCTTTGTATATCGTATGTTTAGGATGTGCGTTTGAATTATCCCAAAGATGCAATCACAATTCGTTTTGAACATGTCTATTTACCCGTTGATATCTATCGTTTAAATAAAATAGCCGAAATTACATTGAATCCATCTAAAATTCCAACGAATATTGAACATCTATCTGGTCTCATACAAATTCGTACAACATTATCAACTCACTATGAATTACAAATACCTTATCGTACAACCATTTATCATGGATCATTAGATTATGAAACAGATAAAATGTTTTTCTTTATTTCATCGTCAACAACAAATGATTGTGATAAATCATCAAAATCGTGCGAAATAAATCAACATTGTCGAAATATTTCTGTTGTCAATCGATTTAAATATCCCTTAGTTATTTATAATATCACATGTGGAGGAGACACAATTCGCAATTATATCGATGTAAGAAAAGAAATCAATTTATTTGTTTTGTTTTTATTATAATGAAGTGTTTTTTCAAAGACATACGATGAAAATGGCGTCTTTTCCATTCTATATTTTAGAAATTTTATTAAAATAATTTGGTTTTTTCGCTCTATTTCTATAAATAGAGAATCAGAAAAACGTGATTGTCATCGTACATCTTTTAAGAATATCATTCTTACAACGACGATCTGTTAAACTTAAGCTATCTTAGTTTTCACTTCTGTAATATCGAACAAGAAAGACAATACATCGATTGTTTATTATATTTTAGATCAATTATTCTTCCATGCCAATGTATCTATTACCTGGTGAAGAAAAAATTCCATTTTGTTTATTGAAACGAACATCAGTATTGGATAAATTTATCAACATTGAAGATTCGATTGTTATTCATACGAATTTATCATTTTTTCATTTACCCATTTATTTATATAACGCACAATTAACCGTAAGTTACTTATAGTACCAATTTACTTAGGGCATACCAAAAGTACGGGCAGTGACACTTTAATACCGTATAGTAGGCTTAAAGTAACTTTCGTCTATATAATCTGATAGAGAAAAAAAAGCTCTGTCTTTCTATGCTATTTGATCGTACTTTAACTAATATCATAATATTAAATTATCTTTAAAATCTATTTCGGCTGGTTATGTGCCGATTGTATTCATACTAATTTTGAAAAAATACGAGTGAGTATTTTTTGAATAACTTTTAATAGAAGCAAGATAGAGAGCTGCGGTTTTCACCGTTGGAAAGAGGAGATGAAGACGTATCGAATCATATATTATAGATTTTCTTGATCTGTTTCTTGTAAGGTTTTCAATTGGCCTGTTTAAGAACAAACATATTTGATAAGTTGTTTACAGTGAATTTTCAATTATCAAGTGTAAATTCAACCCACTAATCGAAGATCTACACAGTGCGGAAGGTTGAGATGAATAATATGCATTTTAGTCGAGCTTCTAATAGAATTTTCTAGCAAAATCTGTGAAAAAGCTCATTTTTGTGCTTTTTCCTTTTTCCATAAAAAAAAAAACATTTTTCCGACACTTCGAAAATTGAACAAAAATACTTCAGAAATCAATATTAGAAAAGCCTATAATATATGATTCGACGTATCTTCATTTCCTCTTTCCACCGGTGAACACCGCAGCTCTCTATCTTGTTTCTATCAAAAGTTATTCAAAAAATATTCACTAGCATTCATGGAACCGTGACACATGCGAACAAAACAGACCTTATAAAAATTTTATTATCCTTATATTAGTTGAAGTATGATCAAATAGCATAGAAACATAGAGCATTCTTTTCTCTATCAGACTGTGTAGAAAGAAAATTTCTTGAAACTTAATATACAGTATTAAAATGTCACTGCCCGTACTTTTGGTATGCCCTAAGTAATATTACTTAAATTAAAAGTGATTTTTTTCCTGTATTAGTTTGACTTGTTGGATGGGGACAAAATCAGTTCTGGTATAATATTATTAAATTCAAGTAATATTTTATTATCAAGTATCTCTGTGAATACAATGAAAGAAATAAAAATTATGATTTCAAATGCAAATCCCATCGAAATATCGATAGAAAAAATATTTTCATCTTATTCACCAAATTCATCAATTCAATTGTTATACATGAAACATTTGTCGAATAATAGACGAATTATATTTAATCAATCATATACAAATTTAGATATTGCCAAAGTAATTAGACAATAAAACATATCTTCTAACTAATATTTTCTTGTTGAATATTTTAGCTTGTGATACCTGCTCGACATCAGGCTATATTTTCTATTTTGATAAATGGAACAAATACACCTAAAGCATATATTGAATCAATCAAATTTAAAACACCATATCAGGTAGAACGTTTTTTCCTGTGATTAATATTGTAAATTAGAAGAACAATTGATTTTGTTGACATGAAATCTTTATTTCATTGCTTTAAATGTAAAATATGTACTGTGAAATCAGATTATCCTTGTTTGCTTTTAAGCTAACGGGTTATGCATAAGTTTTGTAACAAATGTTGAGTGATATTTCTCTATAGTCCTGTTGTTCTGGAGACTTCACTTTCTTTTTGTTTGAAAGAGCAAAGTCTGAACTACAAAATGTGTATCAAATAAAATTATCTTTCACAAAACCTCATTGAAAAAAATTGAAAAGCTTAACGTCACTAAAAATCTTCTGGCAAATCGTCGAAATGTCCGCGCTCTCTATCTTCTTTGAAACGGTTCTTTTCTCATTTAAGGATACGCTTGAAAGATGATTAATTATTACATCTGAGAGCGGTTGAAACGCTTTCGAATGGTGACAATACATTTCTTTTTTATTTAGTTTCTGTGAAGAAATAATCATTCATCTGAGCACCGTTAGAAAATCAGTTAATTAGCGTTAATTGTCAATTCTTGAATTAACAGATGAACTTTTATACAATTTTTGAACTATAAAATAATCTTACAAACTACTGTAAAACAAAATCTAATCTCATTCACTTCGTATTTTATGTGATACTTTTGCTGAAAGTCCTAATTGCTAGACGCAAAATCTCGATTTTCAGAAAATGTTTCAGAAAACCACAAAAAAAGTAACTTGAAAGTTTTTAAGGAGATGAGACTCATAGAATTTTTCATGGCCTTTTCTTTCGTGTATTTGATTTCAGCAAAGAGTGCTTATTTTTGATATCAGTGAAAAGATTTTCTTGATATGTTTTAGTAAAATTTAACTAGAATATTTTTAGTGATGTAGTTTTTGAATTGTTTTTCAATGAGAAAATTTTATTTGATACGCGTTTTATTGTTCAAACTTTGCTTTTTCAAACAAAAAGAAAGTGAAGTCTTCAGAATAGTAAAAGCATGAAGAAACAGCACTCGACATTTGTTACAAAGGGATCAATCATTATTTATGATATTTTTGTTTTCAGATTCTTCGAATAAACATTCGATTTTATATTGTTAATGGTACTTTAGAATTGTCATCAGAAAAACTCAATTTCAATGTATATCCGGTAATACAATTTACATAAATCTAAAGAAAAATATAGTTCTCTTTGACAATAATATCCTATTTAGAATCAAATTTTATCATCAGACATAGAAATTCGTAGTACATTCACGGAACCGATTGAAATTAAACAAATTGAATTTCAACCATACGGTAACTGTTTTACATTTCAATGGTTGAATAATCAAAATACAAAATTTATTTTACAACCAAATAAAACACAAAAAGTAAATATATTTAAATAAAAAATTTTTGTTTAATCAAAATGAAGAATTACTAATAGTTTAAAATATTATTTTAAAATAGATTGGTAATCTCACATTCGATATGAGTTCATTATGTGGTATGATAGGTACTACGACAGAGTCGACTTGTTACTGCGGTTTAAATTATCATAAAAAATATGAACAACAATGGCATTCAATGGATACAAATTCATCGAATTTAGATCAACTTTTATTGTTGAAATTTAAAAATTTATGGAATGGATGGAATTTAATTTTAAAACGAAAAAAGTAAATTTTTTATTTGAAAAATTGTCTATATGAAAGTTCAATGAATTTCTTGTTATTGTTTTAGAATTTATTCATCATTATGGTTGTTGTCATCGATGGTAAATATGTCTTGGCCAATCATTATTAATTTTCAATGGCCTAGCATATTGGATTTTCCATCATCAGTCAATGTTGAGCAATCAATCATTGATTTTCCTTTAACACAAGTGGATACCACTACTGTAAGCAAAAAATTTTCTTGTTGGTTGTTCGTTAACTCATTTATTCATTATTTTTTATATTTGAAGAGTCAGAATTTGACTATAGTAAATCCATTGAGTAAATCGAGTTTATCTTATCACATTCAATTCATATCAAATTATTCGGATGGTGAACGTTTGTTGAATATAATTTATGATCCATCAAATACGAGTAGAATAAAAATGACGATTGATTATGATGTACCATTTGATGTTTGTATGGTATGTTTTCTTGTTAGATTTTATTCTTCGATATCAATGTATAATAATTGATTGTATTTTAACTTTTAAGACTGATCCAAATTCAATACTATCGTCAACACCTTGTGGCTCATATAAATTTACGTTACAACCATTTGAAAAAATATCGTTTACAATTAAATACAAACCACGAATACGCTCGAAACATGAAACATTTCTCATCATTCGGTAATCATTTGTAATTAAACAAAATTTTTTGAAAATTTATTTTTTTTACTTATGTTTAGAAACAACTTAACAATAATTGAATCAGTAAGATTAAGAGGTGAATGTGGTAGTGGTGATTTGAAAATCGGAAATAGAAAAGGTGAATCATCGATACAACCGTTGACTATGGAAATGAACGATAAACAATATAAATTTTGTTCAGGTAATAGAACGGGTGAGATGTTTATGTAAGATGACGGAAACTGTTATTCATTTCGCTTTTCTGTTTCTCAAAAATTGCACTATACCTCTGCAAAACATGCACCATTGTAGACGAAAACTTTGAGATCTATTCTAAGTATCATTTACTATTTATCTAACGGAATAATTCTAAAAATTATTTTTGGATCTTGTTTGTTTCTCAAACTAGAATAGGGTCATATTTAACTATCCGATATTAGTGGGTGAAAGAGATGATGTTAAAGATAATATTACATATATTCACAAATTGCATTGCTCGTCTTAACCGGAAATTGTTAAAATAACTCCCGAATATATATGAAAACAATATATCAGACAACAAAGTAAAAGCATTTGCCATATATCTCCATTTTTATATTTAGAATTGCTTCGTGTTGAAGGTGCTCGTGCTAATCCAATGTTGCAAAAGATTGTTATACTTCGTAATCCGGGCAATATGGATTTATTGATTTATAATATTTATTTTGGAAAATCAGCATGTTATGGTCAAGGTTTTTCTGCTATGAATTGTACGAATATCATACTGAAACCAGAGGAAAAATTAGATTTAACTATTAGGTATGGTGACAAAACCGCATTGCTGACTTTGAAGTAATTATTACAAGAGCTCTGAATTATTTTAGATATCAACCAGATTATACGGTGTCATTAGTCGAGGAGATGATTACTTTACACACGAATATTGGTTATTTGACTTATCCGATTATTGTTCGTATACCACAAAACGTTTTAAATGCTTGTTATCAAATAATACCGCGACCAGCATGGGAATTTAGATGTTACTGGATATGCCTTTGTGCAGTTACCATTATCATTGCACTTATATTAACATCAGCTAGTTACGATGCAAGAAGATTATACGATGACGTATGTTTCAGCTATGTTCACTGTTCTTCACACGTACTATAGTTAAAAACATAAGCAAAACAAAGCCCTAGCTAATGCACTTGTGCTCGGGTACTTCGCTTGCGTAATGAGGCCGGTACTTGCCTTTTTTTCGGAGGTAAATTTACTTGTAAGTACTTTTTCAAGCACCTGACTGACTCAATGCAAGTAAATCTACTTGAAAAACTTCAGCCAAGTACAGTAGATGCATGCATAGCTACCAGGTTTGTTTAACTCAGTAGAAATATGTAAATTTATTTTCTAAGCTTATACTGATTAATATTGTGACGTTTATATACACCTTGTGAATGCAAAACAAAAGAGTGATGACTCGTCCAAATACTTGGCGAGTACTTTGAGAAGCAGTTGGAAAGTAAAAACACTTGCAAGTTCTTGTTCAAGTACTAACAAGTGCTCATCCAGTAATCAAGTACTTGCATCAAGTACATTCCCTAAGAAGTATTAGTAATCTTTTACAAGAGCAGCAGCTTATGGATATTTTGTTCGAACAATATGTGTTAAGCCCCCCTCCCCCCCGTCAGAAACATAAAATTTTTTTGAAAAATTTGATATTGAGCTAAACACATCATCAGATAGCCCACAGTATCTACTGTCAGGATCCACTGTTATTTGGTTGAAGGGATATGGAGGTTTTTAGAAACGTTTTCTGAAAACCTTGAAAAGCTGACTTTTTGAAAAAAAGAACAAATCTAAAAATACTGTCAATAACACCAAGAACTAGAGCAAACATTTCTAATCAAAATGAGATATCTTCCAGCTCTGAATGATGTTCTAAACAAGAGTTATGCAAGTTTTGCTGGAAGCCCTAAAACACGCACCAGCTAGCTACTGGCACCACCGTGTCTCGAAAGGGATTTTCACCGTAACATCATTTCGTTACTGCAAAATTTTTCGGTAACGAAACATCACAGAGAGCTCGTGAAGGTCTGAAATTGAAGCTGACACATGTGGCTAGAGGCTAATAGAGCCCGATTTTTGGTATTTGGTCTAGATTTGTGGTTAGAAAAATGTCTTTATGCAAGTTAATGAGACTTTTTCGAATTTGGAACTTTTGACGCTGACCATTAATATGAAAGTAAAATATAAAAGATCCGGCTCTATTAGGCTCTAGCCACATGTATTTTCATCAACTTAAGACCAGTCCGAGCTCTCCACAACATTTCATTACTGACTATGACTTTGACTTTGACTTTGACGATCTTGTACCTTTTCAATTTAGTACCAAGCACGAGCGGAATTACGTCAAATGTCAACAAATAAAATTTTTGATTTGCACGATTTAGCGTCGTTTGTACGGGATGAGCAAGAATTATGGTAAGGAATTAAAATCTTGTGCTCATTCTAATTAACTATTTTGAATTTCTATTTGCTATTTTTAGTGATCAGAATGAGTCTCGTTCATCGGTGAACCATAAACTCTCGGTTCGTACAGCTGAAAAAGATACAGGTACGAAAAAGAGAATTCAATTTTTTTTCAAAACTTGACGTGTTTACTTTTAATTCTATTTAGATTCCAAAATAAAATCGCAACGAATATCTGCTGACTCTGCTAAATCCTTCAACCAAACAGATAAACAAAAAAAATCCATAAATGGTAGTTACAAAGATGATGAAGTGGGTAAAACGTCCCAATCACTTGTACCAGGCAGAGTATGTTTAGAAATTTCTCATCTTCTTCCTTTTTATATTTTTGAAACCATCTGTATTTTTTAGTCTAATCGTAATCGAGGCAGCATCAATGATTCACAGCAAGATGATCAACAATCTTTTACTACTCGTTCAATCGCGTCTAGTCCAAAAGCGTTACACAAATCTAGACGAACAATTGCATCGACTGATGGAACCTCACAAAAAGTATACGGGCATCTTATTGATAAACATATTTTATTAACATATCTATATATTTCAGAAACAAGATCAGACTAAACCGCAGCCTATTTCCGTAAGGGCACTAAAATCTACTACAGACCATCAAGTGACAAATGACGTAACGAGAACAGATAATGACGAAGACTCGTTTGTGGTAAGTCGTTAAAGTAGTATAACTTTTACGGTAGAGATACTGATTGGTTTCAGCAGACTGCCATCGGACGATAAGTCATTTTCCTGTTCATTATATCAGTATTATAATTCTTTTAGGTAGCTACTCGATCAAAAAAAACTATTAAAACAAAAGATTCAACAGCAGCAACGAATAAATTGAACATGATAACAAACACTTTGAGATCAAGAGAACAACAAGACGCTAATGAACAACGGCGAACCCAGCGCGATTATTCAAAATCAACCGAATCTTTATCAAACGATCAATCGTGGTTATTAGTTAGCTCTAAACAGCGTAAACAAGCGAATGAGGATAAGAAACCAGCTCCATCATATTTATCACGTCAACAAGATGATACAAAATCGAGAGCAGCAACAACGTCAGGTTAGTATTCTTTCTTTCGTGATTAAAATTCTAAGAATTTAATCAGTTGTTAGTAAAATTTACACTTTTGAATTTATCTGTTGCTCTACGATATTTTTCCATTTCGTTAGTTGTAAAATTACCTTATTCAAACCAGCGAATGACATCCCATATTTCTTTACAATCGTCTACTATTCCGCATCTGGATCAAAAGATGGAGATACGGCAAAATCCATCCGATCGCCATCACACATCAAGATTACTATCTAGCGGTGATAGTACTACTTCTAAAAATGGTGCTGTTGATGTGAATAATACAACTGTTACAGATTTACTGTCTGTTTTTCTTTTACGCAAAATGAATAATAATCACGATGATATTTTTCCATGTTCAACTATTGCACGTTCAAGGGCATCATCAGCACCATCTGACAGTGTAATAAACTCTGATAATGATGAAACAGATGATATAATATGTTGGGATGATGTTGAAAAACCCGACAAGGGTACGTTATACAACAATAGTAGTAATAATAATTTTAATTTAACACAAACACATATTCATTATGATCTAATTAAGGGTACCTTCTCTCGTTTTTCACCTTCTTGACACGTCAAGAGCGAAAGTCCAACTGAGTATCAGAGATAGAACATCGAAAAAGAAAACTCATGTATTTTTGCCTAGAATTTCCTGGTATGTTCTTCTGTGGATTTCCATTAGAGTATCGAGTGTTCTAGATTAAATGGCATTTGTAATATTTCCCTTACAACTTTTTTTTGTTATGTTCCCAAATCTTAATTAGTTTTTCATTAGATGGATCGTCAGCTGCTGCTCTACAAAAACATAAGAAGCATATTTTTATAGACCTCAAAAATAAGAGAGGAAATACTGTGAAACTTCAATCTTCATTACTTTGTAATCTAAAACACAACGAAAGACACTTACAACACTTTTCGTGTATCATAAGTTCGATTTGAACCTATTCTTGCGAAACAAAATACAATTTTATCAAAACTTACCAAAAA